TTTTTTTTTAAAGAATCAGCTCTTTGTTTTATTAATTTTTTGTATAGTCTTTTTGTTCTCTAATTCATTAAATTGTGCCCTAATTTTCATTATTTCCTTTCTTCTGCTTACTTTGGGTTGCTTTTGTTCTTCTTTTTCTCATTCTTTAAGATGTGATATTAGGATGTTTACTTGGGTTTTATCTTGTTTGTTGAGATTGGTTTGTAATGATATAAACTTCCCTATTATTACTGCTTTTGTTGCATCCCAGAAGTTTTGATATATCATATTGTCATTCCTGTTTGTCTCTCTATATCTTTTGATCTCACTTTTTATTTCTTCTTTGGCCCAGTCATTTTTAGTAGTATGCTGTTTAATCTCAACATATTTGTGGGTTTCTTTACTTCCTTTTTTGCTATTGATTTCTAATTATAAAGCATTGTGGTCAGAGAATATGTTTGGTATTATTTCACTCTTCTTGGATTTGTTGAAGATAGTTTTGTGACCCGACATATCTTTGAGAATGTTTCATGTGCACTGGAAAAGAATGTATAATCAGATGTTGTGGGATGAAAGGCTCAGTAAATGCCAATTATGTCCATTTGGTTTAATGTGTCCTTTAAGGCCAATATTCCTTTTTTTAAAATTTATTTATTTTTGTTGAAAGTATTACAGATGTCCCCTTTTCCCTCCATTGATCCCCCCCTCCACCCTCCACCTATTACCCCTCCATGCCAACATTTCTTTATTGATTTTCTGTTTTGATGATCTATTTAAGTGCTATCAATGGAGTTTTAAGATCCCCAACTATGATTGTTTTTGTCTGTTCCTCCCTTTGGTTCTATGAGTAGTTACTTTATATATTTCAGGGCTCCCTGATTGGGTGCATGTATATTAAGAAGTGTTAGGTCTTGTTGATGTAGTGTCCCTTTATCATTATAAAATGTTCATCTTTGTCTCTTGTTATCTTTGTTATCTTGAAATCTGTTTTGTCAGATATAGTATGGCTATACCTTTACATCTGTGGATGTTATTTGCTTGAAGAATCATTCCATCCTCTTACTTTGAGTCTAACTTTGTTTTTGCAGCTTAGCTATGTATTCTGAAGGCAGTATATGGTTGTTGTTTTTGCAAATCCAACCTGCTATTCTGTGTCTTTTTATTGGTGAATTCTGTCTACTTATGTTTAGGGTAATTATTGATGTATGAAGATTTTTCTATGGTCATTTTTATTTTGTTTTCTGGTATCTCTCTGCCTCCATTGGTTATTTCCCTTTGTGTTTCTGTCTGTTGTTTTTCTTGGAGGGATTCCATATTTCTTTCCTCTGTTTCCTCTTTTCTTAAGCTACATGTCTTAGTTTGGGTTTTATGTGTGTGGTTACCATTAGGTTTATGAAAAAGAAAGATTTATATATACAGTAGTCCTCTTTCTTTTGAATGCATCTAATCTCCATCTTCCTTTGCAAATCAGACTTTCACCTCCTCCACTTTTATGTTTTTTGTTGTCCAAATTATCTCTGTTTATGCTGTAAATTTGATGGTGATCGTAAGCATAGTTTTGTGACCTTTTGTTCTTTGTTTCAGGAAGAACAACCCCTTGAGGATTTCCTGCAATGGAGGTTTCTGGTGATAAATTCCCTCAGCTTCTATATACCTGAAAAAGTCTTTATTTCTCCGTCATATTTAAAGGATAACTTTGTTGGATATAGTATTCTTTGCTGGTAATGTCTCTTGTTTAGTAGTTTAAATATTTGGTTCTATTCTTTTATGGCTTGTAGAATTTCTGCTGAGAAGTCCCATGATAAACAAATTGGCTTCCCTTTATAGGTTCCTTTCTTCTTTTCCCTGGCTACCTTGAAAATTCATTATTTGTCTTTACTTTTTGACAGGTTCAATACAATGTGCCTTGGAGAAGGTCTCTTTGGATTGAGGAAACTAGATGTTCTGTTTGCTTCTTGGATTTGAGGATCTACTTCTTTCCATAGGTTTTGTAAGTTTTCAGCTACTATTTGTTTAAATGAACTCTCTATTTCCTTCTCCTTCTCTTCTTCTGGTGTGCCTATTATTCTTATATTGCTCTTTCTGATAGAGTCAGACAGTTCTTGTAGAGTTCTTTAATTTTTTTTTACGCTCAAGTCTCTCTTTTATTCCCTCTGTATAAGTTTTAGATTTCTATCTCCCTTTCTCCACCTGGTCCATTCCTTTTTCTATGCTGTTAGTTCATTCTTGATTTCTTTTATTGAGTTCCTCATCCCCATTTTTCTGTTTGGTTCTTTTCTGAAGTTTTAATCTCTTTGGTAAAGTACTCATTTTGTTCATTAATTTTTTTTCTTTGTGCATTAAATTGCCTGTTTGTATTTCCTCATATCTTGTCAACTATTTTGTAGAACTGCAATCTTGAATTCTCTCTCATTTACATTACCTATTCCCATGTCCTTGAGTTTATTTTCTGGAGATTTTTCATTTTCTTTCTGAGCTGTCTCATTATGTTAGTTATTCATGGCATTCAATGTATTCCTTCTCTGTCTAGGCATCTATGTATGAGTTGCATTTCTCTAGCAGACTAATACAAAGAGGTCTCTTATTTTCCAGTAGATGGCACTGAATCACATTTTTGTTTAGCTTTGTGAAATCCCAGTGCTACCCTTGTAGCCACACACTGTCAATGCAGCTGCAATGCATGGGGGAGGAATAGGCTGGAGGAACCAGCTTGCTTCTTTGTTGTTTTTCCCTCCCTGTAATGGCGATCTTGCTGGAGTGTCTCCCCTGTGGCCTGACCTGGGACTGCTCACAGAGTGCCCTCTTTGCTCAGGAAAGGAAGAGATTCTGCAGTACCAGTTCTGGGGTTTGCAGATACAGTAATGTGCTCCACAATCTCACGCAGAGAGTGAAGGATGGTGAGCTCTGGGAGGCTACAGGGTGGCAGGGCTTTTTGGCTTTGTTTCTCTGCCTGGAATGACAACCACCTGACAACCATAGCCACACACCCATGCTGTGTCCTTCCCAGGTCTCTGGGCTCAGCTGCAGTTCATCCTACTCACTTTTGCAGGAATGCCCAATGAATCTCTTTGCTCCTTCCAACTGAAGGGAGCGCCAGCCACAATTGGCTCCCTCCCCTCTCCGGGCTGAGCCCCACTATGTGTTCCTGGCTGCAGGACTGTGTCTATGGCTCATCTGAGCCCTTCTCCCTTCCAACCTCCCCGTTTTGCTCCCATTTGCCCACATTTAGGTATTTCAATGAGCAGATCTCTCAGCCTTGCTCATGCATTGGGCAGGGAATCCTGAGTAATAGCTGTTCAAATTGTTGAAACTTTAAGGAGAGAGACCAAGGGGATCTCTCATACCGCCATTCCTGTAACATCACCTGGATGATCCTTCTAAAGTAGTTTGGATTATATGGCACCTCTGCTTAGAAACTTTCAAGTGTATCTACTGCTTTGAGGAGAGACTCTGAAGTCTTATGAATGTCATCAGGATTTTAACCCTCTGGTTTCAGCTCACTCATCAGCTTTCTGCTCCTTGCTCCCCTTTCACAGCCAGTCTATTTGCTCACTACCATCCTGTTCTAATATGTCTGTGCTGTCCCTGGTGAAATTGTTCTCACTTGTCAAGACCAGGTTCAAATATCAAATTGTTCTCACTTGTCAGACCAAGTTGTTCTGTGGGAACTCTCCTGACTCATTCCATACTGAATAAACTCTTCCCTTCTCTGTGACTTAATTGTACTGTGTAAATATTTCTATTCTGGGACTTATACTACATTATTTAGCATATTGGTTTACATGTTTGTTTCTCCCTCTATACTGTAGGCTAACTAAAAGCAGGGAGCTTGTTGTTTTTTGTTTGTTTGTTTGTTTGTTTTTTGTTGTTGTTGTTTTTTTTAGCTTTGTAGTCAAGCAGATTGCATAGCACAGGCTAGACATGTAATAAACGCTTGCTAAAACAAGGGGAAAACACTCCCAAGGACCTTTCAGAGGGTTCTGATTCTGAAATAAAGGACCAGTGAGGAGAAGACGTGGTCTCCACATTCATTGGAGATACACCTATGGCTAATTTAAAAGCTGTATGATTGCCATTAGCACTTTTATTTGCCCTGCATTATTTAATGAAATGGTACATGCTAATGGTTTCTAGAAGCTCTGGCATTACTCTTTTTCTATGGCTAGAGAGTTGCATGACTTGCATCAGTAATTTTTCACTTTTGGCATCATAAAGACAATTCACACCATTTACAATTGCAGTTCTGAATTTACTCCATGATATCAAAGAATAATGAATATAGTCCAAAAGATCCACACAGACTTAAGATTTAAAAAATCAGAGTTGAGTTGCACAGAGCAATTGCTCAATCTTTGACTGGAATTCTCCCCAGCTTTTGGCACCTACTTCCTGGCCCTGGGTTCAGGACTGTACGTACTTGGTGTTGTTAAAAAGATAGTTCAATAGTAATGGATGAGGAAACAGGGAAACAATATTTGGAATTCATAACATCTCACTCCAGACATTCTACGTAAATTAGCTGAGGCACACATCCAACAGCCCCTGAGAAATACATACAATCATTTCCAGTTTGGGAAAGGGGATGGAATAATTGAGCAACTTCAATAATTCATTTGAAAACTCATTGGAGCTCATAAACCAAGACGAGTGACAGAGACAAAAGCTGAACTGAAACACCCTGACTTATTCCAGGATTAGGATTTAAACTGCCAGCTAAAAACTCAACTCTCTGATCCAGAAGAACTCAGTATTTGAGCTCTGTGGGTTGTGGACAGGGATCAAGTCTCCACACATTTGCATAGATGCCATTCTAGGTCCTTCATTTTCTACAGCTCATTCTAGTTGGTATTGGCACCCTCACTAGGACAGGCTCAGAACAAAAAGGATTTCCTGTGTGTCCTTATCCTGTAGCTCTGGACACTTCACTGATTGTCTTCTGCAACAGGTAAAATGTTTCTAAAACCAAAGGTGGAAATGAAACAAAAATATGTTGAAAGACAAGGGTAAACATATTTAAGAAATTAAAACAAAATGATCATTTATTGTTTTTAATATGTAGTTAAATATGACAGCAGTATTACACAAATTGTTCCCTTCTCCCCTTTCTAAAATCCCAAATTTGTTGACTTCAACTGAAAGTGAAAAAAAAAATAGAACAAAACATGATTTAATTCTGAAGATAGCATTCAACAGAGAAAACACAGGTAACAATTGGTCACCACCTGCTTCCAGACCTTTAAAGATGAATTCTGTCACGATGGTGGTCGATACACTGGCTTTCTTACAAAATTATTACCAGGGAAAGAAAAAGATTTCCCATGTAGTGTAAGTAGGACCAGAAGAACTATAGAAAAACTTGACTTAAGAAGCTGTGTAAAGAACACTTAATGAATTATTGCAATCATAGGGATCTTTAGATAGCAAATCAATGAACTATAAGGAAATACATTCAAACTTAGATAATTTTTCTTACAGTGAAAATAATCAAGAAGCTTGCAGAAGTATGTAGCATCTGAATTACGGAATTTAAACAGTGGATTTCAGTAGAGATCACACCTCTTCTGCTATCAGACACCATTAGTGCAAATTTAGACACAATCATTTTTACATTTGCAGGTTCAGGTACATCAAGCATGAGGTCATATGCGTATGTTATTTTTTCGTGAAGAATTCAGCCTTGGAATGTCTTATTAATATAGAAAAGGAAACAAAAATGATGCCCAGAGGACTGGAGTAACTTCAAAATGCTCAGTTTTCCAAGCACTGTATTAAATTAAGTTTTGGAAAACCTCTGCAAAATTAACCTTCACCTGAAAAGCATGTCCTTGATTTGATGGAAACCAGTGAGAAACTAGCTTGCAATGTGCTGTGCTCACCCACGCAGTCTCTCCTCTTGTTGGAGGCTGACTGAGTTAGAAGGTCAGATTTCCCCCGCAGCGTTCTCTCTCAGCGGCACCACAGTGGGCTTTGTGATCCTGACAAAGGGGACAATTATACCCACTTTGAAAGGCATTTACAAATATTCTGTGTGCTGGTGCAACTGGCATAAAACACAGACAGCCCCCTGGGTGTCCAACTTTTCCTTTCACACTTCAACATTTCAAATTACTACAAGCAGAATTACCAGAAACAGTAGTAAATTCCTGGCATTGGGAGTTCCCATGATCCCTGCTGGCATGCAAAAAAGGCTGTCTTCCCCCCCGCCCCCCCCTGAAAATAATGTACTTCCCAGGCACTGTCCAAATACCTCAAATGAGGCAAATGAAAGATTTGTTTTGACCAACCTCTGAAAAAACTGAACCCTGTCAGACAGAGCCCCAGAATTTAGTAATAATATATACAAAATGTCTGTGTCTAAAGAAACTTAATTCATTGCCCTAAAATTATTTTAACATTTCTTAGCAAGAGAAGCTCTGATTTCACATAATGGTATTTTCAGAGTCGCCTGGTGGAGGACACTTAATTTGAGAATTTATTGCCCTGCTACTAATATGACAAACTGAGTGTATTTTTGTTCAAACACCTTGAAAATGATGACTTAGACTCGACTACAGTGTCTAGACAATATTCCTCGAGTCTGGGTCCTGCGATGGTCAAACTTCATAGAGATCCAGCTAGGGGTCATAGTTGAAAGTTCCCTTTCTTATCTTTTCCTCAGAAAAATTACTTCTGTTTTCATTGTATCTTATTGCCTGTGTATGGTTGGCTCCCTCGTGGTCCCTGGGATAAGGGAATCAAAGAACATTCCTTGTAAGTCACAGGAAGATAAATACAAGTCTTTTTCTGGTTATTCCCTGACTGTAAGTAACCCAACTCCCTACAGCAAAGGCCTCAGCGATTTATAATGAGTGCCATAGAAGTACAGGCAGGTGATGGCTGAGTTTTAGAGGAGCTAGGGGCATCCTTTACTTTCTGTATGCCATGTGTTTCTAGCATAATTTGCAGGATCTGTGCTCCAGTATCTGAATGACCTAAATTTGAGCTGAACCTAATTGAATATTTATTTACACGTTGCTCTGAAGAAGTTGAAAACTCTGCTTGGTAGAATATTTTGATATTTATTTTTTCTCTGAATTACCCCCCATCCACCCACTCCTATGTTTTTATCTCTCCCCACATAGCAAACTTCTAAAATTAGTTTCATGCTATGTGTCTATTCCATAGGCACAATAGGTTTTTAGCTGGGTGATGAATAAGAGATATAAATACATAGTTTTATAATGCTTGGGGACTCAGAGACTATGTTTAAAAATCAACATGGCACATCAAAATTTTTTACTGTATTTCCTTAGGAGAGAATTTCTTTTAGTAATTCTCAAATGCTAATAAATCTTAGAAATTAGAAAAAGATGAGTACTAGCATATGGTTTGCATTATTTTTTCCAGCCTTTTGTTCTGGATTTAAAGGAACATAAATCTTTCAGTGTAGACAGTGATCTGGAAATTAACAAGAATTAACATTGAGAAGCCAATGATGATGTAATTCACAAACTTCTAGGGAGACTTGATTCAAAAAATTAGGTAACTTTACTCTCATAATTACCACCTTACTTCTTGGCAATAATCATTGTGAGAACAGTGGGCACTAAATAGTTTAAAAGTTATGTGAGGCAATAACGAGGCAATGGTATTACATTTTAATTTGAAATTGAGTATCCACTTAACCAAAATGTTAAGTAACACCATATTGTCTGATAGAACAGTAGTAGAGTAGAAAATTATATATACACTTGAGGCTCTCCTCGGTTATGGTTTTCTGATTTCCGTGATTGTCTTATGAGAGCTCACTTGTCAGTATTCTATACCCTTAGACTTACTTTGCAAAGAAGGCTTTCAATTGTGTGTCCATACTAGCAACTTGTAGTCAATAATTATGAATGCTTTCAAAGTCTGGTTGGTCTTTTAGCAAAGGAATAAAGGGAGACATGATATTCCAGTTGGGCGTTTGTTGTTATTTGTGGGAATATCAAGAGGCTGACTTTGTATAACTTCTCCAGGTATTTTAATTGGTGCAGAAGAGACACAACGGATGGGATTCAGATTTATACGTAGGAAATGATTGACCCTACAGGAAAACTGACATAAGGCACAACAAATTAGTAAAAACTTTGGCCTGACTTGAAACTCCCAATTTTCAGTTACTTGGGACAGTCAAATGTTTTGTTTTTGTTTTTGCCCCCACAGAGGGCCCCCCTCCAAAAAAAAAAAAAAAATCAGCATCAGAAATAGAAAGCTCATCCAGATATACTTAAAATTAGAAACGCCGAACTTCAACTTCTCTGCATGTTTGGAAGCCAAAGATAAAGGAACAAGATTTGTAGATGTGTGAAGTGACCAAAAGAAAACTCCTCAAAGCAAAGTCTCTGAGATGCTACAGTTTCTGAGATACTACAGCAAGTCCACAAACTGAAGCAAATGTTACCACAGTAGCTGTTATAGCAGCAAACATAACTGCCAAACAGCCTAATCTCTAGCTACCAAGTTTCCAGAGATAACTAATCTTCTCCCAAAACATTTGTAAAGTCAAGAGATGGAGAAATAGATAAGGACATGATGTTGGGTTATGGCTGAAATAGTGACTTTTTACAGTCCCGTCTAATGCAAAGAGTTTATGATTCCAAGTCTTATTGTAAATGCAAACCTACCTATGATAAACATTAAGTGATAAGGGAAACAGAAAATTTCCTTTTTTTATCCTGATATATTTTGCTCACTAGCTAATTCAGTAGATTTCCCAATCCCGCCAGGGGACATTAGTTGTCACAACTGCATTGAGAGAGAGAGAGAGAGAGAGAGAGAGAGAGAGAGAGAGAGAGAGAGAGCGTATAGTCAATAGAAGCTCTGGAAACTGACAAAACAACCTACAATGCTCAGGAGGACTTCCACCCCTACTCCCCAACAAAGACTAATGAGCCCCAAAGTGTCAACAGTGCTGAAGTTGAGGACACTTGAGATGGTCTGATAAATGACAAAGAGCCATACACATCTAAAGTGCAAATGCTTCTCTGATACACTGGTGTTTCTGGAATATCTTAAAAAATACGAAGTTGATAATTTTAAAAAATGCAACAGATATTGGTGCAAGAAGGTGAACTATTATGCTTAGTCAGAAAGAATTCAAGTGTCCTGGAAAGTTCTCCTGTGTCCAGCACAACTTTGGATATATAATTTTCTTCTCATTAATGAAATTAACACATTATTTAAAATAGAGCAAACAGCACAGATGTGCATGCAACGATGTCCCATTTTTCATAAACATTCTTCAGGCAAATACTTGATAGTTCCTTATCTAAGTAGAATCGAACATTGGAATTGGATAAAGAAATAATATTGATCGTACCTTCTTGCCAAATTGTGTTTGAGGATTTTACCATACTACAAACAATTATCACTATTTGTATTTATTACTATATGCCACAAGATCTTCAATAATATTTAAGTTGATTGAGTGGTTAAATGAATAAAAAAATAAAGGAATGAATGAAAGTGCTCTTTAAAATGTAAAGTGCTTTACAAACACAATGTAGTATGAGTATATATGTAATAGGTAATGCTGCAGCCTCATAATATTTGCTCAAAAAAAACAAAAAAAAAAACAAAACACAACAACAACAATAAACCTTCTCAGGACAAAAAAAAAGTTCAGACAGTTAAGAAAGCAATTAAAAATTGTGATTATATAAATGATAAGAAAACCTGCTATGGATATCATTCATTTTCAGGTACATTGGGGAAGAAATGAAACAAAGGCAGAAAAAATTTAAATGGCAAAAAGAAATAGTATTGTTAACTTAGATAGTAACAGGTAGGAGTGGGGAGCGGGGAGGAACCTGAAAACCCAGACAAAGATCCTGTAATAGCTAGAACTTGAAACCACAGATTGTTATTAAAATGGCGCCATTCTTAAAACAGCAACATGATAGAGGAAGCTTGGTCCACTGTTCTACAGAACAGAGTAGACAGTCATATAGCACATAAAGCTAGAATTTAGAAGGACTGTGCCTTCTGAGATGCTTGGTTGACCTTACGTGCTGACAAAGGAGTATGGACAAGGAGAACTTGAACAAAAATAACCTGACAGGAGTTTCAAGTTCAAGACCTAGTTATGACAATGTGAAAATTACTTTTCTCTCTCGGACTCAATTTCTTATCTGTGAAATGAAAAAGTTGAATTAGATGACCTCCCATGATTCTGGCATACAGATGCTGATGCCCAGAGTGGGGCAGGGATGAGAAGAAAAAGCAAGAGCAATCTTTTGAAATTAGTAAAGCACATAAAATAATAAAATCTCTGAAAAATGTCTGAAGAAATACAAAGCAAAATAACATTTTACAGGAGCAAGAAACCGGAACCACAGGATATATTTTTCAGTTAATCTTATTTAAATATTCATTTCTTATCGTGGAATGGATGTCTTGAACCATAACATAGCTTATAGCAAAACTTTTTCTCAAATATGCAGTAAGTCCTAGGAGCATCACCAAATTTATACTTCTTCAGAATGAGGAAATAAGAAGAATTTTTTTTTGCCAACAGTTTAATAAATTATACTCATCTGAGAAAATGTATTATCTGCATATTAGCATAATTTAAATTAATTTTATTCTTTTTATGCAATATATAGTCTTCATTTGCAAATTTTTACAATTAAAATTAAGTTCCACATATTTATATTTTAATGTGACAGCCCCTTACATTTGTGTTACGGGGATAAAATATATTTAAAGTTATTTGCGTTTGAGGTATTTCCTTCTAAAGGGAAGCCTGCTGGTCGGCTCCTAAGCCTCCCTTTGCTGTGAAGAATAAACTGGGAAATTAGAAGAAGCTAGAGATGCTAATGACTCTACTTAATAAAGAAGTGAGCCAGTTGAAGTATGAACATAGAGGCCTTTGGTGTGGGAGAGGACAGATGGTTGGGGGAGAAGTCATGTAGAGGAATTAGTAAGAGAAAATATTAAGATGGGCAAAGAGAAACGTAAGTAATTTGTGTCTGCTTTGAAAGTATTCTCCTTTGGCAGTTTTTCAAGAAATGTATTGATCTGATTGTCTTTGAATGCTTTGTGTATTGATGAACTCTTTTTTCCTGAATGCAAATGTGTGCTGGTCCTGAACCAAGAGCCGTGCTTTATTTGGATTGCATTGACATATGGTTTTAAAAGTCTGTACATTTAGTCAGTCTGCATAATAATCATCTTGCAGGAAAGATAGGATGCAAATATTTTTATTTTCCCAAAGTGCAAACTCTGACTCATGGAGATTGAAGTGATTTTGCCAAAATAACATAGTGGACACTCAAAGTTGTATCAGCTGGTATTTTTTTTTCATTATTCCATCATGCCTCTCTGAAATAAAAATGCTTAGTTTAGCTAAGAACTACCAAATCTTCTTTATCCTCCTCCTTTTTCCTCAAGGGAGGGGGCTGGAAGGAAAGATCCCAGTAGCACCGCATAATAGAATTTCTGTGACGACAGGGAGATTCTGTATTGTCCAACATGGTAGAGACAAGCCACATGTGGCTATTGAGCACTTGAATGTGACTAGTGTGAGTGAAGAAATGAATTTTTATTTAATGTTAATTAATTTACATTCAAATAACCACATTTGTCTAGGGAATATAAGATTGGACAGCCAGCTCTAGAAGCTACATGTGACAGATTAACAAATGCCCTAGGTATCTTGAACTAAAATAATAACTGGGGCAAAGTGTAGCTTATCATGTATCTTTAGTTTTCCATTTGTCAATATATCTGGAAGTCTACACCCTTTATAAACAAACCAACATTGTGGTCACTGCTATCTGACTTAAAGTATTCTTCTTGACTTTTAGTACTTTTATGTAATCATTGAATATTATTTTTGCAAATAATGAAGATGAATAACTAACTCCCTGTATATTACCATTCACTTGATTTCTGCAGAAGTTTGCATGTTTTCCTTTGCTACTTTTAATTTTTAAAACTGTGATTCTCTCTCTATGCTCATAGTTTATTAAGCAGTGTACAGACGTGTCCTTTTTAATATATTATATATGTACAGTTCAAAGTATCAGCATCTATTCTGAATTTCCCGAAACTTCGTGTATGTCTGCTCTTCTGTTTCAATAAATGGTCACCAAGAAGGAAACAGAGACATATAAAATAGATTGAAAATTTCATGAAAAAAAGGGATTCAGTCAGCCTTTCCCCTAACCACTAAAGGATTCATGCACAACAGAAACATCTCACCACCCTTAAGTCTTTGTTCTGTTAGGAAGCTTTCCCACACTTCAGCAGCCTTTTCCTTTCAAAAAGTTGTATCTATCACTTGGTGCTTTAGTTCACTGAACAATTCAGAGGGTTTTATGTTTTTCTACAGAATGGCCGATTCTCTTGAATAAAAAATGGAAGAGCCCTAACCGGTTTGGCTCAGTGGATAGACATAGAGCATCGGCCTGCGGACTGAAAGGTCCCAGGTTCCATTCCGGTCAAGGGCATGTACCTTGGTTGTGGGCACATCCCCAGTTGGGGGTGTGCGGGAGGCAGCTGATCGATGTTTCTCTCTCATCGATGTTTCTAACTGTCTATCCTTCTCCCTTCCTCTCTGTAAAAAATCAATAAAATATATTTTTTTAAAAAAAGAAAGATGGGAGAGTATAAAGATAACATTACTATTTCAAAGAGTTGTGTAAGAAGTTGGATATATAGGCAGGGTTTATATAACTGTCAATCAACTGCTGTGAGAAGCCACACCTACCACAAAAGCTAGTGAAAGAAGCATCATCTTATCCTAAAAGGAATCGTCTAAGTGTCCCTTATGTCTTTGTAGAATACCAGTTGCACCAGTTACATTGGCAAGTCATTTGGTTATCGCTATCTGATCAAACCTACTCCACAAAAAAATAAGTTGGGATAGTTCATATAAACTGAACAAAGCTATGCAGAGAGATTGTCATCACATCCTTCAATCACCTTGTTTGTCATTTTTTTTTTTTTGCAATTATGAACTAAGTACTTAGGAAAAAATTACCACCCTCAACAGGTACTTAAAAATATAAAACAAACTGTATGGGATGGAAAATGGCATTAGTTTACATGAGACAGTTGTGTAGATAAATATGGTACTGTTAGTGAGCTGCTGTCATTCAATGTAGACACTGTGTACAAGACGTTAAGCTGTTAGTGAAGTGCTGTTTAAGAGATCTCTGCTTCTTGATACCAGAATCTGCAAATGGTAGACATTGTACCCTATCAAAACCAACAGCTTCTTGGCACAGGATGTAAGTTTCATGGGTCAAGATGCGATGAAGTTGTACACACAGTACCTTAATTTAAACTTTAGGAGCTCAGTATTTGGATATTAGCCACTTTCCTCCTCAAAAGGATGCCTTTTCTATCTTCGTTCAGGGGGAAATTTCAAGATCTGGATTTTCTTTACAGGGCAAATGACAGCTCCATTTAAGGAGTGTTGGGCATCTGGTTTATTTAGCCAGGGAGGGAAGGAGTCGATATGAATGAAAGGTGGCTCAAATAGGCAGGACAACGATTGGCATTGTAACCAATTGAACCACTTTTGCTAAGTGACATAAAAATATTCTAATATTAAGGATTATTTTACAACTCTATGGAAGTATGCAGTAATGCACCTTGCATTTGTTTTGTCTTCATGACAAAAATGCACTCTTAGAGTCACAAGAGCCTGCCTTGTGTTAGTTATAAAGAAAAATATATTTATATATATTTATGTAACTACTATGTGCTTTAAAGAAAATTACTGTATGATTCAGCAGGGTTCTTTCATTCTTTTTTTTATCACCAGGGATATGCTGACTTGAATGGCTTCTTAGAAGGGAATCGACAATGAAATGGGCCTTTAGTACTGAAACGGCAAAAAGTAAAAAATACCCATATACTAAGAATCCCTTAACATTTTTGTTTAAAAAGTGATTAAGGAACTACTCATCCTTTTGTTTCCTTCAGCCAAGAGCAACTGTGGCTTCATAGGACTTCACAGTTGGGAAATGGAGGCAATGCTTCGTAAAGCAAATCAAGTTTTATTCTGAGGAGCGAGAATAGAAAGCTTCATTTGCTACTCCCCTTTCCTAATCCTTAGCTAACAGGTTGGAAATTCTACCACAGCTCATAAAAGGGCATTCATTAACAAGGAAGAGGGAAGCATAGTTTAAACCTCCTGTGCAGATAAAGGTTCATCCTATAAAGTAATGAACCTGTTGGAACAGGTGGATGTAGACCAGAAAAAACACAATCCTTTGGCCACACGTCTGATGAAAAGATAGAAAATTTCTTATTTTGTGTTTGTGTTGTTCCTGCGTGAGCTATTTTTCTCAGCAATCTTGACATTCATCATTGCTCTTTTGGGTGGAAGGGTTCCGGCTTTGGAACACAGTTATCTTTGAGACATCGGAGAAGAGTATATGAACCAAAGGTGTAGATCCTTTGTGAACTAAAGCTTTGTTATTAGTGTTTTTGTTCTCGATCCCTTTGCAACCCTGCACCTAAGCCGATGGCACGCTAATCTTGTCATAATTCTGGGAAGTCCACACGAGATGTTCTGGGTGAACTATAGATGCCATCCTCAAAGAAATTCTATGTTCAGTGGTAAATGGTGGCTTTTATAAGTTTTAGTTTTTCTCTTACCCTTCCTGGGCTGGGCTTGTCCAAAAATCTTGTTTCCTTCAGGCTACAGCAGCTTAGGGCTCCGTGTGTGTGTGTGTGTGTGTGTGTGTGTGTGTGTGTGTGTGTGTTTTGTCTTAATGGTATAGGAAAGGTTTTAGTCTTAACACCTGTAAGCCAGCACTGGTGCTGTTCTGTCCTAGAAATCTTAGCACTGCTCTGATACAATAAAACCTTCCTTCTCTCCCACTGGTTCAACTTCAGCATAGGCTGGGTGGCCAGAACCTCTTCGAAACTTCATCGCAGGCCATCTGCTTGGGCGTCTCTAAAAGAGAAAATGAAAACACAATGAACACCAGGGTGGTGATCACATCCGAAGAAAATATATTTGCCAAATAGTTTAGATTAACTTCTGAATTAAATTTAGTGATATGTGAAATTCTCTCTTATTACCACCACAGTTGGAATTACATACCCACAAAGCCCCATGACTGAATTTACATTCTGGTACCATCAGCCCCTCTTAGGTGACAGGCATTTGCCATACCTACCCCCATCAGATGTAGAGCTTCTCAAAGGTAAGCTTTGCGTCTCATGCATATTTATGTCTAAAAGATCCTACAAATGCGCAAATATAACTAGGTAAAAATTAACTGTAGTAGAAAAAATGTCTTCTTACTATGTAGCCATTGACACTTTCTCTTCTCTAGAAGTCAATAAAGACATCATTTCATTTTATTAATTAACTTACTCAAAACTCAAGGCCATAAAATTCTGCAGGGTACTTAGAAGTATACCTCAAATTAGGTGCCAGATTTTCTGGCAAATAAACTAAAAGGAAAACCATTTAATATCTTAAAAAATTATTTATTAAGCTGAGACTTCATATATATTACTTTTTGTGCTTGAAAATTAACAGATGCCCTGCCCTGAAAACTGAATCCAGCTTTGAAGGGCATGAACCATCCTGACCCTAAGAACTAAATAATTGCCCATATGGTCACGAGTCCTAAAATGCAGGTTATTTCTATCGACAAAGGACTGAATGTCTCCCCAGTACTCCATCCATCAAACAAACACTAAAATTCATTTTATGGTCACAATGACACTAGAAACTATTAGTCTTCTTTAAGTCTAATAAAGTCAACAAAATTATGTCTACAATTTTGGAGTAAGTAATATAATAAATATTGAAGGAAGTTTATTTCTACCTAAAGAATTTCAATGTGAAAAAAATGTTAAATAAATTGCCGAAACCGGTTTGGCTCAGTGGATAGAGCATCGGCCTGCGGACTGAAAGGTCCCAGGTTCGATTCCGGTCAAGGGCATGTACCTGGGTTGCGGGCATATCCCCAGTAGGAGGTGTGCAGGAGGCAGCTGATCGATGTTTCTCTCTCATCGATGTTTCTAACTCTCTATCTCTCTCCCTTCCTCTCTGTAAAAAATCAATAAAATATATTTTTAAAAAAATGTTAAATATTAGTGTAGATATCCTGGCATTTGGCAGCTTTCTAGATTTGCCAATTATATTCCAATGTCAATTATTAATGGCTGCAGAAGAATTTTCATACCAAGTATGAATGAGTATTAGTTCTACTTCCTGGGAAAATACCAATTAAGGTAATTACATTTTGCCTTCTAATAATATTATGTACTGTCTATGTAACATTATGTGGTCAGAATGCTTTATATGTGTTAGCTGATTAAGTCCATGATGTAAGTAGAACTGAATTATTCATATTTTTCAAAAGAACAAGTTAAAACTGAGAGAGAGGTAGTGTGTCTCTGTTGGAACTAAAAATCATCATCGTTAGAAATATACAAAGCGTCTCTAGGCAGATGGCCCTATAACTCATGGTTACTCCTGTCTGTGGGAAAATGCCAATATGCCATTGTACTCACTATTTATGACCACTACTCTGGTTTCAGTAACTTCACAAATGGACTTCTGAAGCCACAACTGCCCTAGTCCTTCTTTGAGTCAAGCAGCTCAACTAAGTCTTATTTCTGAATCCCCACATTTCTAAGGCCTGTGGGTCCAGCTGGCAAGTATGGCCTGTGAACTAGCGCTAATTAATGTACAACCCAGATAATGAGAATGTTAATAATAATGCCTGTGAAAGTTATATTTTGTTAAGCTCCTAACAGTAGTTCATGCTTTGTACTAGGTGACTTATATATTATCTCATTTGATATGCAGAACGCCATCATTTATATTTTTTCACACTTGTAAAGTTAGTAAATGGCAGAGCCAAGATTTAAAATGAGATCTACTTCCAAAGTTAATTCTCCCCACTGTAGACCTTAATTCTTAAAATTCAGTGGCTTGCGTATAGCTTATCTGAAATTTGTGAACATGGTTCTATTTTTATTTCAGTCTTAAAAATATACCCTTATCAACAACTTTAGTATTCTGTTAATAAGTCAGAAACATTAAGTTAATTATTCTCTGTATTAGCTGAAAAGAATGCAGGATTAATAATGCTCATCATGTAATTTGTGATGATAAAGTACAAATAAAGTACAAAAACTTTGGACAGTGAAGCTTCCTCTGTTAACATAATCATAACTTATTTTCTGAATTAATTACCTTAAAATTTTCTCTTGATTTTTCCTACTATTTGTTATAAACACACACACACACACAGACTTGCCCCATCAACATTTAAAATCACCAGAGATCCCGCCACTCACACATTATTTGCTTCAACTTTCAGTGTCCACCACTTATATGCATTTCTAGGAACAATGAATCATTGCACATACTGTTTTAAGAGCTCTTTTTCCCCCCATAAGTAAACACTGAAAAAGAACTATGCCTCTACAAAATTATTTTAAATGTTTGTAGCGTATATTATTTATAACTAAATGTCTTATATAATCAACTTGATATTTGAGGTAGTTTTCCACATTTTTTGACAATAGAAATAACATTACATTGACTAACTTTGCTACTCATCTGATGAATATATCTCTTACTAGTTCCTTTTATAAACTCTCAGAAGTAGAATTATTGGGCCAAAGCGAAAGCACAAAATATTTACAAAATCAGAAATGTCTAGTATGGTGCTAGATGCTGTGTTGAAGGACATATGACCAAAGAAAGGTTTGGAACATGCTAGTAGTTTCTGGTCCCTTTGGGAGTATGTACATGTACTCCTGCTATTTTTGCCTAGATTAAAATAAAATGCCCTTTTTGATAATGATATCTTAATATAGCTCTTTTTTTTCTTTTTGTTAAATAACTTTTTTTTTAAAAAAAAATCTTTATTGTTTAAAGTATTACATGAGTCTTGTTTTTCCCCCATTGACCTCTCCCCAGTCACCCCCATCCCCCCGCACATGCCCTCACCCTCCTACTGTCTGTGTCCATTGGTTATGCTCATATGCATGCATATAAGTCCTTTGGTTGATAATGATATCTTAAAATTCATAATTGAACTCTAACAAATATCATACAACTGGGGTTTTAAAAAGTTTGGTCTGATTTTACATTTTCTTGATATCTCTAGCTTAGCCCTAAAGATACCAAAGAGTAATAACTTTACCAAAATTCTGCTTTATTTCTAGAATACTTTCACATATAACACAAATTAATTATATGATCTTAAATCATCTGATTTCTCTGGGCCTTTGTTCCTTCACTTGTAAAATATTATCTAAGGGTTTGTCCTCTAAACTCTTAGGATCCTTATATCGGCTTGTCTGAGATAATTGCCTTTAACGTTGTGGGGGAGAAAAGAGTGATATAAAAATTCCTCTGTATGGTGGTTCTTCTGATTATTGTCCCTCCTGCCTCTCTTCACGAACTTTGAGGATTTCTAAATTTAAGGGAAACCTACATAAATTAGTCCTGATTGAAATGCTTTTCTATGTCAATCTTCAGTCCTTCAAAGGTTTCCTTATAAAAGAAAATAACGGGGGCAGTTCTCTGTGAGGGAAAAATCTCTGAAGTTGATGCTATAACAGGAGGCATCTATCCAGTGGACAAGGGGGTCTAGACACCTGATGTCTAGCACTGCCACAAAGTGTTGTGGTCACAAGTCTGCATTTTTATGTCTTTCTCAAGGCTTAGACATGTCTAAATCTGACTTCTTTTTAGGACAGCGAATTCACATTCCTGCAGAAACTGATTGGGGAAACAGGATCACTTGCTAGCAGGGCAGGATGTATGCTGAAATTGAAAAATTCAAATCAGAGTGTAGTGGAATTCATTACAGAAATTCGGGAAGTAATGCCTTAAAACATTTGCGGGCATAATGCGTGGGTGACCTCTAATTTCATGCTGGAGAATTATTTATGTGATTAATTACATTCAGAAGTCAATGTTCACATTGATATGCCGGCTTGGGTGGGCTGCGCAATCAGGTATTCTCCCTAATTACTCCTTCAGTACTATTAATTGAACAGTCATCCAGATCTGTCTCAATGGTCTGTGGCACGATAATTAGCTGAAATATATATAAACAAACCTGCAGGGTACCCTCAGTTAGCAGTGTACACACAACTGCAGCTGGAGACTTCTCTTCGAGCTCAGTCAGCAAAGCAAATAGTCCTTTGAGTTGGGTTAGATGAGCTTTGAAAGGAAGTTACGAGGCATGAGTGTAAAAGAAAATGGACCAGATTTAAAATTCAAGGCTCAGTTGGAAGACACTTGACAAGCAGCTGGCTGGAAACTTCTGGTGTTTTGTGCTGCCTTCTTCAGTGAACAGGGGGTCGTAGAAAGAAGCTGGGATCAGACTGAAACAGCACCTGTTAGTCCCCATCAGAGGACTTAGGTAGTCACATGATGGCTTTGTTACTCAGTTTCCCCATTTGGAAAATGAAATAAACTAGATGATTGTTTTTCAACTTCTTTTCTTTTTAAATTGAAAAAGTGCTTGTCACAGACCCTTTGTTCCACTGAAATCTTCCCTTGTAATCCAAACCAGATTGTGCAGAGCAGGTCTCCCTTCATTGGGAGGGAGGAGCCCCTGCTGACATGCTCTTCCTGAGCCATGAGGGAGCCTGTGGACCCTACACCTTCTCAGAGCATGTTTTTGGAAACTACAGAACTAAATCTGCATTTCTCAGGCTTGACTGTGCATACAGGTCACAAGGGATCTTGTTAAAATGCACGTGCTGATTCATTAGGTCTGGGGGGAGGTTGGAACTCTGCGTTTCAAACAGGGCCCCAGTGCTGCTGCTGCTGGACCACACTACACACACACTCTGAATAGCAAGGGTGGTGACTAAGGTCTCTTCAAAAAGGAACGTCTTTAAAAGTGAGTGTAGAAACGGTATTAAACTCTGACCTTCCTGTGTCTCCCATGGGCCTTCATGGGA